ATAGAAAATGAAATTACTAAATTACTTACATTAATATAATAACACCAACTATATAATACCAACCCGCATTTGGCCAGCGTGGTTGACTATGGCCTAATCACCCTTAATTAGGGTAGGCTCTGAGCCCCTCGGTGGGGACGTATAGTGAGCTCATGATGATGAATATAATAATATATTTGTGCTAAAGAAAAGATTTAAGGAAAACGTAATGTAAAAAAAAAACGTAATATGTTGTTAGCGTCATGTAACTAAAATTCTATTGACTATTGATGAAGTAGACAATAACAAGTCCCTTCACCCTAATTGTATCCAACTATTAAGTACCCTACTATTAATTTAAAAGTGAATAATATCAAGGCTGTTTACCCTAATTGTCAAATATATCAAGCTGTTTGGTATCCTTTATAAGAGTCATATCTCGATTCGTAAATCATTCATCCCGAAAAGCTTGTGGCGTGCTATCAGGGATGCAGAGATTAATGTTAGAGACAAGTTAGTGTAATGGCGTGACTCAGGGTACGTTATCTGCCAGCTTGTCACATACTTACGTCGACTGATTTATCGATACCGCTTTGGCAGCAATAACTTTGACTCCTACTATGGATAGCGAAGTGTAAGTTCTTGCAATCAATATGGTATCGCTTACGCGTTTATATCACATTTATTTTTTACTTATGGTTTTCCAGGGTCCTGTGGTAGATTATAATTTTAAGAGAAAATTTTTTTTTTTTTAATTTCCTTATAATTTTATAAATGTGACTCCGTCCTCGCAGTAATGAAAAATATATTTAGTAGCCTATGTATTCTTCCAGACTATATTCTATATGTTTGCTAAATATCATCAAGATATAAGCAGCTGTCCTGGAGATACTTTCAAACAAACATCCATCTATCCATCTACACATTGATTATGTTAGTAACATGCTCAAGAATTTTCTTTTCTCACGAATTTTCTGCACAGAAATGAGACTATTCCTACGAATTACATTATAGAAATAGACCTTTTTTTAGTATTAGTCTGTCTTCTTATTCTTAGTCATTGTATGTAGATACAGTCCTGTCTTTAAACTTTTTTATTTTCTTAAAATTTTATTATTTCCTTCAAATATTATTAGAATACAATGCTTATAACTATCATCATCATCATCATCAGCTCACTATACGTCCCCACCGAGGGACTCGGAGCCTACCCTAAGTTAAGGGTAACTAGGCCATAGTCAACCACGCTGGCCAAGTGCGGGTTGGTTGACTTCACACATATCTTTTAAATTTCTTCTCAGATATGTGCAGGTTGCATCACGATGTTTTCCTTCACCGTAAGAACGTCGGATAAATGTACATATGTAAATCGGAAATCGAAAAACACATTGGTACATGGCGGGATTCGAACCCAGGAACTGCAGATTGCAAGTCGAGTGCTTGACCCCTGAGCCACCGACGCTCTTGTATAGTATTGCTCGGATAAAATAATTTGAAATAAATAAAGGTTGTCTTATAACAATAGCTTTTAAATTATTTTGTTCTTTGAAATATAATTCTAAAAGTTAAATCGGCTTACTCATTAATTACCGCACTTGTAAGTCTGTAATGACATAATTACCAATCGGAGCAAAGGTTTCCTTCACACAATTATTATTTAAGAGTTCGTATTACCAAAGTTGTATTTGAAACATCTATTGTTACATTAAATATATATTTGAAATGTTCCGGAATCATGGAATTATTTCTGAAATTAATTTCTAAGTACATATATTTCGTTTAACGCATAAATTGTAGAAATATTTTGGTATTTACGTGTTATAATGTAAAATGTCAAGTTTGTCTATAGTGAAAGTATTTATGGATTGGAATCAGATTTGGACAGCTTTGTATTCGTTTCTACTTGATCGCGCTTCTTGTAGTTCTTAATAGTTATTTCTATGTCTATTACTAGTTCGAACACTCGCCACCGCTACCATCTGCAACAGTCAGAGCCAAAATAGCAAAAATCAATTAGGCACAAAATATCACAGCTTATAGCCTGTCCATGTAAAGAAGTTTATATTTGAGCGTAAAAACAAAAGTTAGGTCTGTTCATTTTCATTAAACTATATACTATTTAAAACACAAAACAAAACTTTGTGAAACTTGTTAGCAGACTTGTTTACTTAGATTTATGGTCGTCGGAAATTGCCTTTATGGAAATTTATGCGGTGAAATAAATAATCCATTTTGACAAGCGCTAGTGGAATATGTTCATAGACAAAGTTTTAATGTTACAACTTCGTCATTTAAAAGTATGTAGACGTACGTAAAATAGATTTTTAAAATCAAAAGCAGAGACCATAAACAAAAAAATTATTTCCTCTTTTTGGTATGAATAAGATTTATTTGCATGAAAATAAATGAAAGCCAATACTTGTGATTCGTGAACATTTACTTGGACAGTTATTTTCATAGATTAAGTAATTGTAGACCGATCTTTTAAATAACAAATAAATGAAGAACATCATGAATGTGAGAAAAAGATAATTAGTAACAATTTTGAAGAATTCAATAGTTTGCCATGGTTACTTACTTACGAATTAATGTAACAAACTGTATCTAATTTTATGCCAATAACCGTTACTTTGAAATTGTAAAGATGCTTTTAAAATTGTTTATTTTTGATCAGTTTTTATGTACTCGTATATTTTCACATAAAATATATTTTTTTTAATTTATTATTCAAAGTTGCTTAGACGGAATTTTAACTTTCCACTCTGTTATTTTCTTAATCTATGTCATGGGGGAAGCAATATCAAAGTTATTGCATCAGAGAGTCTCCTTCGATGGCTTTGGCGCACGACCGCGCTTCAAAGGGGTATTGACTTTGAGCCGTCCAAATTACAACTAAAAGCTCGACTTCTTAAGCGCAGACTTATTCAATGTCTACTTGTTTGTAGAAATGATGAAGCACAAGTCTACGACGTCTACGAAGTGCTACGAAAAAAAATTAGAATTTCAGGTTATCCGAAGCTTATTGAGTTACATTTTGAAAAGCAGTAGTCGCTTAAAAATTTGTGACATGTATTGTTCAGTTAAAAAATAAAAAAACAAAATCTAGAATACTCTGATTTTCTCTCACTAAAATATCTCCTTGTGTGTTCAATTCGCCAACTCAATACATACTTATAAAACAATTATAGGTAAAAAATCTTCAGTAAAATTATTATTCTAAAGTAACTTTCAAGAATATTTTACTAAATTGTTTCCATAACATTATAAGCACAACAATTTCTATATTACTGCTGGAGTGGGCAAGACGTGGAAAAATTAAATTTAACGCTTGCCATTCCAAGCATCCAACGTTGCGAGCTTCGTCTTAATAGTCTTTAAAAGCTTTTGTTCCCGAGAATCATGTCACCGTCAAATTAAAGAGAACTAACGACCCAGCTTGACGCGCCGTCGGCTGTGAAATTTTCAGTTCAATGGATGGCTCTTAAACTCTAACTTTCTTACTTTAGAGTAGTAAGTTTCGTATAAAGTTCATTGTTAACTTGACGCCTGATGTGGTTTTCCAAACAAGAGTACACAAGTACCACCTATCTGGAGAAACTACAAATAAATGAGGCCTCCAAGTAATAAGTTAAGCAGTTCAATTCCACTGCTTCAATGCAGCCGTGAGGCAATCACTGTTGGTTGACTTGTGATGCAATTACTGTAAAATTGCTATAAGATTTACAAAAGAATAGGATCTGAAGAGACTAGTCATTTGGTTGAATATTTGTACCATTAATAATATAATATTAATAAAATTGGAATGTCTGTACATATGTATATCGAAAAAATATATATATTTCTCACAAACGATGTATTTGCATAGCTTTTAATAAAAAACAAAAAAAAAACATTTTATTTAATCTATGTCTGACTATATGACTATGCGTTTGTCCAGGCTAATCTCCGGAACGACTAGATCAATTTTAACAGGACATGGACGGGAAGGTAACTGGTGCACGCGAGCGTATCACAGCGTTTTAGGGTTCCGTACCTCGAAAGGGAAAAAGCAGAACCCTAATAGGGTCAATTTGTTGTCCATCCGTCTGACTGTCCTTTTTTTTAAATTCTGCGCTATTATTTGTGGCTGACTGTTAGTTATTAATAAGGATTGCTGCATAAACTTTGTCATTTTTTTTTTGAAATTCTCTTGCGAAAAAACATGAATAAAACATAAGATATGTGAAACTTACCTTCACGTATAACTTATTCACACTTTAAATTCCGCCAGAGAATCCTGTTCAAGCAGTGCAGATGTTACCACTTGTTTTCAAATAAGAGGTTGTATTTTTGAATATAGAAAAGGCGATAATATAAGGAAAGTATCAAAGAATCTCCTCTCAATAATATTGAACAAGCTGATTCCAATATATACGAAGTTATTTCAAATACAGACATATTTCTTTTTGTCTAGACTTATTTTGTAGCATTTATTCTTTCATATTAACATCAAATAAGAAAAATATAAATAACTAGCTGTTGCCCAGGACTCCGTCCGCGTGAATATATAAAAAATCTTAACTAGTGTAGCCTATGTGTTCTTTCAAACTATGTTCTATAAGTTTGCCAAATTTATATCTTCAAACACCCATCCATCTATCCCCATCACTTCCATCTAAACATTCGCATTTATAATTTAGTAAGTTAAATAAAAAGCAGCTCTTCAAGGCATAAATTCCAAAAAAATGAATAAATATCCTATGTCCGTCTCCAGGCTCTAAGCTACCTCCTCACCAATTTTCAACCATATCGGTAAAGCCGTTCTTGAGTTATAAATAGTGTAACTAACACGACTTTCTTTTACGACGAGTATATAGATTTATACAAAATTGTTATGATGTTTGATAGATATTAAACCTTAAAGCTCTATTAAAATTTAATTTTAAAATAAACATAGAAAAAATTTATAAAATCAATATTGACAGCTGACTTTTTTGGGTAAATCTAAATAGTCTTTTAGTTTGTTATATATTAAAAAAATAATGAAAAAAACTGATGTCACTAAGAGTGTATTGGACATACACTCCAGTCCGACTGATTGTCCTTTTAGGGAATTCCGGGATAGCGAACTTTCGGTGGATTCATGGGGACTGGTATGTACTTTTTAAACGTTATTCAATGTTGCCAGGTGCATCAAACGCGAGCACGATTAACAAATTATTTGTGACTTTATCTTTAGCCGATAGATCTCACAGCCTTAAAAGCTATAATTAATCCAGTGACACGTCCTTTCACTTCTAATCCACCACTTGTAATGCTCAGTGGCGCCACTGCAGTGCGTGTCAGCGCAGGCGCAATTTCTTAAGAGTGTGCTTCGACTCTCCAGAGCAGATATTTTGCTACATTAAACTACAAATTTGTTTTCCTTATGTTTTAAGGGTCCACTGGATTATAAATCTACCTTACGACTGGCCAAAGGAGTTTCGAGGACCCATACCGAGCACATGTGGGTGGACTCGCAGATCCAACCACTCCCAAGATCGGTGATGAAACGCATGCACGGCTGGGTTAGGGCCGAAGACTTGGCGCAGACTCTGTGGGAAGCAGAAGTTTCAATCTTTGATGTGGGTATTTTTCATAGTTATTAATTACAAATTTTCCAATGACAGTAATTAGGGCTTTCCTCTATTTTTAAGACCTAGTTAGCTTTAGCCAAAATATTTGAAAATGTGACTAAATTAGGATTTCTCAGAGGGTTTTTATCATAGTTTTTTTTTCTAGGATAACAACGGTGGGTCGATGTCCATATCAGATATCCAATTTGCTTACTACCCAGTGCTGCAGATGTCTTCGTTCTGCAGAAAAGTCCTATCCTATTGTTACATACTGGAGAGAGCAGAGGATTTTACTGTGAGTATTTCTTGTAAATTCTAACTAAAATCTAGACTCGTGATAGGGCAATATCCATCAACAACAATAGTCATATGACTGGATTCCAACCTAGAGAAGTTTTTTTTTATGGCCGTACTATTAATCATTAGGCTATTGGTGAAAATCTGATCCTTGTGCTGCAGGTGGAACATCAGTGGGAGAACTTCGTATTTAGCCTACCACCAGAAGGTTGGCGAGCACGATATCACATTTACTCTCCAGGCTTGAAATATGGCGGTGGACAGCAACACAGACCCACGTTATCCAAAAACGGTAAGAAAAAGAAATTATATAATGGTGCCCGTGAAGAAAGACTTAAGGTAAAATTGAATTAAATATTAATATCATATCATAATGTGATGACAGTTTTTTCACTACGTCTACGATGGTTTGTTTAATGTGTCCCAATATTATAACACCATGAAATTGTTAGGATGCTACCTCGTCAGACTATACTACATCGGTGCTTGGCGCTGTGTGTGGGTGAGCGACCAGATTCCAGTCGATGCGACGGATTGCCCGTTGCTCCCGTTTGCACCTTTCTTCAGTCAAAACGCGAAACAGTCATCTCAAGCTAAACCACCAATTCCTTTTATGTCCAACCCTACTGTTCTCTTGTGGCCTCTATTGTTATGCAAGGTAATAAATGGTAAAAAATATTACCAGGTTATGTTATATATTTTAGATTTTAAACTAGTACAGAAATATTTCTGTTTATATGTAGATTCAAACAATTATGTGGATCGTTATATACAAAAAGAATCGTACTAAGCAAAATGTATCTTGCCAGGCCCTGTTAAAACTGGCTGCTCCTAGCATGGAAGATGTGGATTCTCCTTTCACTGAGGATCAAGTGCTCGAAGAATTTGACATCCTACATGCACTCACTGGGGCTTTGAATTTAACTTACAACTATGATGGTAACTTTCAATTATAATTTTCATTAAATTGTTTATGATAAATGCTTCATAATTATTCCCATAATTTATTTGGTTTGTTGACAGCAATTTTGTTTGTGCTGTAGTATCAGTGGCAGACCATATAATCGCCATAATGTGTTTAGATGCTGACCGACTATGGAAACTGATAACTTCAGAAGTACCACTATTTTCATGGGATGATGATGATGATACTCTAGCAAGCACTATCAGGCCTAAAACAAAGAAGTCTAATGTAAAGGAAACTGCAGTTTTTAGGGTAAATAAAATTATATCAAGTTTTAATCAACATGCTACTAAACAAAATCTCCCAAGAGCATAAAATAAACTTTAACACCTTCTAATACGTTTCAGCATAGGTCAATTACATCAATTTTCATTAAAGACACGAGAGAATTGCCCCCATACTATTTACCTGGTATAACACCAGCATTTGAGATGAGTCTACTCGTGACTATGGCAAGAGACTTGCCGATAAAGAAACCTTTACCTGAGCCAGGTAAAGTTTTTATTTGAAAAGGAGTTACATTGATACAATGTTGAAGCTAATATTATTTTTATAATATAATTACAGAAGTTGCTCCATGGAAACACTATAGATGGGTGGATTGGGCTCGGAGTCATGGTTTGTACGAAGCTTATGATTGTCCTAGAACGAAATTTGTTAAATTAAATGGCTTATTAAAATTATCACAGGCTCCTCATTTGCTGGATGTTCAGAGTACTGATTCGGTAAGTATTGTTAAAAGATAATTCTTCCAGTAATCTAGCGCTTATCTTCTGAGGTTCGAATAAGTCTAACGAATGAGGTGGACGTCAGAAGTTTCTGAAATTTTTCGTTATTTGAAACTATTCTTGCAATTTTTTTATGCTTGCTGCTTTTTTAAATAAGGTTCCATTTAATTGTTCGAAAAGTAACTTTAATTTTATTCGTATTTAAAGTTTTTTTTTTCATAGTAAACTTTTTTTTACGATTTTTTTTTAAATATTATTGTACATTGCACAGATAACATTTGGTTTCCGAGAAGAGCAAGCTCGAACCAACCCTGCGGTAAGGAAAACTTCGTTCGATAAATTAGATGTAAAACAAGATATCAGGAGTGGTTTTTATTAACACCCCTTAGGTTATGTCAGGTTTTATAACACTATGAGAACGATATAAAAAAAATCTTACTTTTATTGCTTGCGTTCAGGTCAGGAAGGCTGGTAAAGAAGGTACCCGATCAGTTACGAATCAAACGATGTCTCCACAGCTCAAAGAAGAATTGCGCGAATGGGTTAAATTTGATACGGTAATTATTTTGAAAACATTTAGAATATGAAGGTCTTACGTGACGAGTATCGTAAGGTAGCGAAATTCACAAATCGATCACTTTTAACTAAACCAAAAAAGGAATATATTTTATACATAGTAATTTAAACTGACTACATATGTTATACTTTTCAGATAATGAACGTCTTGAGGAACATAAGTATCCTATGCTATCCATCGATGTTTCAACTTAGTTCTATAGCCAGCAACCCTTCGATCCGTATTACGAAGGCGCCTCCAAACAAGCAGCTTGATATCCCTGCTTCTAAAACATCACCGTTATATCTTCAAATAGACGGACCTGAAGAAAATATATTAAAAATATCTTGCGGTATGCTTCATCCACGAGTGTTTCTTCATGCTGGTCTACCAATAGATTGCTACGTAGAACCTGGTTATGTGCTGATAGAGAAGTTTAAGTGGTTCGAAGACTATGAACTGCCAAAACCAAAAGCTTATTTACAAACTCGAGGCTATGATGCAACGGAAGTATCGTTCGAGCAAGGGAGACATTTTTGTAGGTTAGTTTAATAATGTATTCTTATATTTCTAATTAAATCATACTAATATTATAAATGCGAATGTTTACATGGATGGAACACAAAGGCTATTTAGTTATTTTTTTATTTCCGTGCGGACGGAGTCGCAGGCGACAGCTAGTAATTTTAATAATTCAAATGCATGTTTTAGATTATGGATTCATTCGAGAGTTCCATGGCATGTGATGACACTGAGTGAATCTTCAATATGTGTGGGCACTCGTGACGTTATCCAAGCGGCCGCAGTGCGTGAGTGTCCGTGGGCGGCGCGGTTTCTGAGCGCCCTTGGCTTAGCCTTTCAGAATTTTGTTCGAATAAGTAAATCTGCTACAATTGTAAATACGTCCGATAAGGACTTTTACAGGTATACAATTTCTTTAAGAACTTTAAATCCAATTCTTATTTCGTTAACTTATTTTGTGGTAAATTGGTAGATCCTACCAACCTGACTTGGATTGGAACCCTCAAGAAGTTGGTTATGACAAAAGTCTACTACATTGGATGTTCCGTCAGGCGTTACAATCGATATTGAAGAAAAAACTTGCACCATACGAATATCGTTTAGTTTGTATATTTCTTCAACGTTATCTGAAAGATCCTGATTTTGGATTATCCAGGAATATAACATCTTATGTGTCCACTACTCATTGGCTGGCCAATGACCCGTGCGACTGTATGCCTGAAGCTGAAGAATTAGAACTTTATAGATTTCAATATACTGAAATTGTAAGTGATAATTTAGATATATGATTAGGTATTGAAATATTTTAAGACAACAAAACTAGCTTATGCACTGAGAACATAAGGATACTGCATTGCATGCCCAAGTGCGTTAACAGGAATGTCTAGAACCTTGAGTTTTAATCTAATGATTTTCTAAAGGTAGAAAGCACGGCCTTTGGCTGAAGATTTACATAACATAAAATTTTTACATAACCTTAAATTTCCGAAAAAGTTATGTTTCATTGTTTAAATTTTAAAACAATTTCAGACACCTGAAGATATAGTAACTGAATCGTTTAGACAAACCATCTGCGAAACGGCTGAAGAGACTTTATCGTGTGGCCATCTGAAATCCATTAGAGATATGAAAATAAGGCGGCATGAAGCGGCGAAAAAGATACAAGCGCTTTGGAGAGGATTTAGGACGAGGAAAATTATTGAGGCTCGTGAAACTGTAACGCCAGAGATCATGAAATATGTAAGTTTATTAATTTTGTAACAAAACTAAATATTGCCCTCTATGATAAATATATTTTGAATTATATTTGTTGCAGCTAATGGATAATGCATTTGGTAATCTTGAAGCTTTATCAGGATTGATGAATGAATTCTTTATTATGTTCCCTGGTACCAAAAACGCGTACTCTGTAGCCTCTGCACTAGCCGGGACATATGGCTTGAAGCAACACACTGGCTCCACTCATGTTTCCCCGCAATGTGTTTGGATTCCTTACTTCCAAGTCGTGTTCTACTGTCACGGTCCTGTTAAAGTCCATCTCGATCTCCAAAGTGTGGTCGGAACTATTAAAATTAATAATATCATAGAAGTTTATAATAACGACACAAAAACACTACTACCACAAGCGTATAATACACATTTCACTTATAATTTTAATCCAAATAATAATGGGTAAGTTTAAACCTTATATTTGAAGAGATAAGGGTGTTTTCAGCTAAGCATGGCTATGTCGATCTTGTAGGTATACTATTATCGGCCATGGATCTTTGAAACAACCACTTAACATCAACACCGAGGCCCATTGGCAATTGAACGTAATGTCCAACATTGCTAATATCTTTCACGTGTGCGATAACGATGTCGATGGCTGCAAGGATCAATCTGTACCCTCGGCTACAAAGGTCCATATAGAGGAAATATATCTTCCGAACCAAAGGAACATTTTAGGTGGACTGCAAATTTCTGTACACAAACAAGAAACGATTTGTTTTAGGGCATCATCTACAACTCCAGATGTAAGTTCGGTCTTTTACTTTGTTTAACTAAATGATAGTTCTCTTTGCCGAAACACGTTTGTAGCTTGATTATTTGGACTTGGATTTAATAAATGATTTCATTTTATAGCTAGAAATGGTAGCAATACTAAAAACGAGGAATCGTAGTGGTGTTATAGAAGAAGTGGCGAGATACACTGGCAGAGGAGAGTTGTACTGGCCGTACATCACATTGCAAGGAGAACCAAAACCAACGCATAAAACTATCTTAATTTCAAATGCGGTAATATCATTTGTTATTGATTACGAATACTTCATATGTCTTTTTATAGTTCCTTGTACCATAAAGCAAAATGAAACTAATACTTTTCTATAAAATCATACGCAGTGTTAACTTCAAAATACAAAAATTTTGGTCTGATGATATATTTTTACTTTACAAGTGCAGAAATTTTCTGTAGTTTTGACATTGTTGTAGACTGCAACTTTAGTTGCGTGGAATTAAAAGAAAATTACGTCAATAGTCTATGTGTTCCAGACTGGATACATTGCGTTCAGCTGTTCTGGATGTATTTATAATAATAGTTGTTATTTTCCAGTCTCCTGGTGATTCAAGTATGCGTGCCACACGAAGTGTTAGAGGCAGTAAACCTACAACTGCAACACTGAAGCATAGATCTACTTTTAAGGTGTTATACTAAAACTGTCACCAGAGAATCCATCCGACCTCGATAAAGACATTTGTAGCTTATGTGTTCTTCCTGAATTTGTTCTGCATCTATGCCAAATTTCAGCGAGATCCATGCAGCAATTCTGGTGATGCCGTCTAACATTCATCCATACAAATTTTCTCATTTATAAAATTAATAAGATTAGTAAGACGTAAGTTTTGCTTGTTGGTATTTGGTATTTGTACATTTTAATATCATTATTTATTTATTTTTTTAGATAAGAGACACCAGTCTAGTACGGGATATAAAGACTTATATAATAGAGTAAGTGTTTTTTTCTTATTAAATATAAGTAAATAAATAAACAGGCGAAATAATGTAAATAAAGGAAATACACATAATAATTAGTTTAAAGTCTTAAATTCTTCTGAATATTGTTAAAATCTCGATATTATAGCAGCTTTTTCTATCAGAGTCCGAGCACCAAAAGGATGGCCACTAACAATACCACAATGGAGAAGGGTCATAGAAATTCAAAGTCAATCCGGTTACAAAGACATGCATAGAAAAACATTGAGAGAAAAGGTGAAGTAGAAATTATCATAAGTTACAAATTGTGTGGAAATATATTAATTTCGCGTTTTAATTAAATCTTATATCTGTTTTTAAGATTTTTAATATTATCCTCCGAATTTTCTAAAAGCGAACACTTACTGCCGATGTCAAGGTCACGTTCACTAAGGTCTCTTTTATTGTTAATTCCGTACTGTCACTAAGGGAGGCCACTTTACGACTCTGAGTACAAAAGTTACACACTTTTACTTAGCATCATGCTGATCACTTGACTCCTTTTTCTTAAACAGGAATTCAAAATACATGTGCAAAAGATCCATCAAGATTTTGCACCAATGCGTGTAAAGTAATTTAATCGTTTTAACTGCAGCAATCATTTCAATCAAGTCTAAAGGAGAAGCTTGACAGTCCGAGGGTAAACGATCCGCTACCCGGCGATGCGTACATTGACATGGAGTGCTCACTGACTGTAGAATCCGGGGCGACTGCTCGTCGTGACGATACAAGAGACCTGGAGTTTATTGCTGCAGCGAGATCCTGGGATGCCAAAGATCCTGGCAGAAATTCTAGAGGCGCAAAGATTAGGTAAGTACAACGTTCTTTATTTAAATTATTCATCATCATCATCATCTCACTATACGTCCCCACCGAGGGGCTCAAAGCCTACCCTAAGTTAAGGGTGATTAGGCCATAGACAACCACGCTGGCCAAGTGCGGGTTGGTTGACTTCACACATATCTTTGAATTTCTTCTCAGATATGTGCAGGTTGCATCACGATGTTTTCCTTCACCGTAAGAACGTCGGATAAATGTACATATGTAAAATCGGAAATCGAAAAATACATTGGTACATGGCGGGATTCGAACCCAGGACCTGCAGATTGCAAGTCTAGTGCTTGACCACTGTGCCACCGACGCTGCAATTTAAATTATTATATTATGGAAATTGGTTTGTAATTGAAACTGACTGTTTAATAGTACAGGCTAACGTCGATTAAAGGTTTTTATGTTATTAATTAGTAAACAAGCGAGTACCTGGATTTGCTGAAATAACTAAGCAACAACTGCCTACAGATATTGGCTATTGCAGATTTTCTGGCTTGATCTGAGAAGACTATTATTATATTTTGAATGAATAACAAATTGCGTTCCACATATTTTTTTTTAATTTACTTATTATATTATTAGAAATATGATACGTTGTAGGAATTATTATGATTTATTTGGTTTTAGAAAAGAATTTCGTGAGGAATACATAGATATGCCTACTCCACCAGTTACTGAAATTGTTGAAGGGAAATCCAATGAGGTTATTCTTTTGTCTAAAAAAGTCAAGTTTTTTGGTATATTACAGTATGAATAATGATAAACTATTTTTCAGATGTCTGATTTTGTTTTCACTGACGAAAGCCAGGGTAAGTTATTAACTTCTACACCAATATAGATATTATCATCACCCTTATCTCTACAGGAGGATCGGCACATTATATACAACTGCTCCTAACATCTCTATCAACCGTCATATCTAAATCTACCACCTTTTTACGCATATCCTCTTTCACACAATCCATCCATACTTTCTTTGGTCTTCTTCTAATACCAGTAATAAATACTAAACTGATATGGTCAATTTTTTTTCCAGATGCTCCGTCAAGTCGACAACTTCCAACTCCAGCTTCTAGTAGTCCTGGTATTATTTTGACATACATATTAAGCCACACTACCGCCTCAAATCTATTTCTTTTCAATTTATTTTGTGTTAAACATAAAAAATCCATAGTTCGTGAATGTAGACTCTAAAGACTATTTGGAGTTGTAAAAATTTATTTGGAGAGGTATTAAGATTCTACGATTAAAGTTTCAGCTGTACGTATAGAAATTAAAAAAGATGAACATAAGTCATCAAGTAAGTCGTTAGAGGTACAGGATGGAGCTAAATACCTGACTATGCCAGATGTGTTGAAAGATAAATTCAAGCCCCTTGATTTTATACCTCTTTGTACGAGAGAACAAACTGAAGAAGAATGGTAAATAATGAAATCTTATCTTATTAATCTTACTATAAATGTCAATGTTTAGGTGGATGGATGTTTGTTTGAAGTTATCTCCAGAATGGCTGAACGGATCTCGATGAAATCTGGCGCACATACAGAACATAGTCTGGAAGAATACAGACTACTAATTATGTTTTCTTTTTAATAAAGCGCGGACGTAGTCGCGGGCGACTTATGATTTCTTATAAAAATATTCAATTCCGTGAAATCTCTACAACTCTATATAGCAATTTTTAGTTGGTGTCTGACATTTAAATTGCATTTTTAGTATCGTGGTAACTCCAGAGATGGCAGAAGCATCTAGAAGGGCCCGGGACGCGCAGATGGAAGCGGCTATCGAACGAATGAATCAGCTCCAAGATTACTACGAGACCAATATATTAGAAGTGCAGAAGACGCGATGTGATATACTTGAGAAACTTTTTGTCGGTTAGTACACTGATGCACAAGTATTCATTGTCTTGTACAACTATCTTAGCAGAAGATCGTTTAAGTTATGGTTCTCCTATCGCTTTTTTACAGAAAATATCCAAAATTAATTGAATATATTCAAAAAATCCATAAGTTTAGGTATTTGTGGTAACCCGAACGATAATTTTAAGTTTTTTTTTTAACTGGAATGGCTGCAGAATGACTAAAAACTAGTTTGTAATGAATTGTAACCTTTTTACACTCTTTTTCAGATTCACAGTGGACCCAGAGTTTAACTGATGCGTTAGAGGCTAGGGATCTAGCTCTGACTACGGCTGAATCGAACAAAAATGCCTCTCTCACACGTAGGAAGCATGAATCGAAAACAAAATAGACGTTTCTACGATTAGGAGAAATTTAGAAGAATATTTTATGTTCCGATAAGAAGAAAATGTTGATTTGTTTATTTAATAAATTATAATTTTTATGTCAATGTTATATGGTATCGTCCTAAAGACGAATTAATGCTGTCGGATGATAAACATTCCAAGGACATAATGAGTCAAGCAATGTAAAATATCAGAACATTTGGAATCGTTACGTTTAGGTATCACTTTCTCATTACTTTCTAAATTGTCGCAAAATGGAACGTTAATTAAACATTACTCTGTAAAAAATAGCATTCAAGAATATTAACAATTGCTGACAATTGCTACATTTAAATAAAATGGAGTTTAATATTATTATAACAAAACTTTTTGCACTAATGATACGTGGACGTAGTGGCACTTAATGGACATCTTATTATGTATTAATTAAGCTTGATATTAATAAGAATATCCAAATTAAATATATTTCTTATGTACAAATACACATATACATAGTAGATATTTATTTACATCCCTATTCTATGAATACATAAACTCTTAAATCTATGATATAAAATAAAATTAAAAAAAAAAAAAAACCGAATAATTAACTAAAATATGTTAATAAAAGGAGTCCCTTTAGGCAAGGTCCCGAAGATACTGGCAGCGTTCCCCCTCTGTACAGCTAAACTAATTCTTTGACCGAGGTAGCTGCCAGCTCTTCGGTCCCCTGTGATGTCGATTAATTTTTTGGAAATGTCCTTAAAAAGTCTTAAAGCGCTAGGACCCCACGGACCAAGGGTCTCGACGCCGAATGGGACAAAATGTGAAATATAAATGTAAATATTCTTCTAATAAGAATATTAGAAGAATATTTCACTAGAGTGAGCGAAATATAAAAGTATAAAATACACTAAAAGATATCACAACTACTTATATTTTTCTTTATTGTATTTTGTTGGCGTGTACTACGCACACTGAATGCAAGAAATCTCATTTTCGGAATGAGTTTTCTTTCCCTATTTTTCTTTTGTGATAATTTAAAAAGTTTGAGGCATTGTAAATTAAGAACGTGAAGTTAATAAAGCAGAGTTACACCCCAGTCGCGTCACGCCCCCTAACGTTTACTGCATTTTGATGAGCCTGCTAATGTTGCGCCTCGTTTTCGACATAATATTGCTCGCGTTTCCAACAATCATGTAGCTACTTATTACCCGACTGACAAGAAGGTTTTGTTTTTCGCGCGTATGCACGTTTTTTATGCGAGTGTTTTTTTATTATCACGCACCGAACGCAACGCACGCACGGACCGCAACGGATTGCTTATTAGTAAATGGCGTCTTTGCTTTATCCTTCTCATTAGTTCATTAGTATTTACAAATCGGAACATTTTTATCTAGTGTAATTGTTTTTTTTTTAATATGAAATATTCTGTTCAGAAACATCATTACCTTGAGACGACAAGAAAATAATATTAGTTTTCACGAAAGGATGTTCGATATTATATTAAGTATGGTTAATAAGATCCTTCCAGAACTTTCTAATAAGCCACATTTGCAAGGTTTATAGATTCTCACTTACGCTAAAGAATCCTTTATAAACATTTATTGTCATTTCGACGTTTTATGTAACATAAAAGACGGAATAAAGTGCGGAGATATTATTCAAAGAGGTCTATTGAGGTGAATAAATAACTTCTCGTGGCGTTTGAGTGGCGGCATAAATCTAACGATGTAGGTAATTGCGAAAGTTTTCTTGCACCGAAAGAAAAAAAAATATATTTTTCTTATAAAACTTCTTTGTTGCACTTTATAAGAATACAATAGGTTTTTAAAATTCTATTTTAAGGAAGTAAAAGTTTTTGCGCCTTATTTTTTCACATAGCAATATTACTATCCGTCTTTGTTAATATTATAAACATAAAGGATTTGATTGTTTGTTGGTTTATTTGTATAGACTCCAAAACTACTGAACGGATTTGAAAATTTTTTTCACTTTTGAGAAGCTACACTAATCCCGGGTGACATATGCTATGTTACGAGAGTTTACAATAAGCTAGATCCTAGGTTATCGATCAAATGATTAAAAATATAAACTACTTATTTATTATACACATAAAAAAATAATATCTTACGTAACTACATAATCAAATAGTATATATCGTTTGAAACGTATTTCACATCAAAGCGCTTTGATCTGAAGCATTATTATTAATGTTGAGGAAATTTCGTATTTGTTACAGAAAGTAAGGGAAATAACAAAGTTGCTTAGAATTTCCGGACTACATTGTTACGTGGTAACTTAAAGGGGAAAAATAGTGATATATTTAGTTATGTTATGTTCATTCCTTAATACGATACTTGCGAAAATAATAAATTTTTTGTTTTATTATTGTATGCACCTTGCATTGTTTGACAGTTCATATGTTTATATTATCTTTTGCTATTATAAATATTCAGGCTTTAGTTTAACAAAGTATTTCGCATGTGTAATTCCGATAACAATTTCGCATTCTACATTATTTATTTACCACTATTTGTTTATTTGACTGTAATAAATAGAATCAATTAAATCAAATAAGCTTTTATTTTAATCGGAATACACTTCTTTACAAAATTAATTAAGGCGAATACACTACCGATATACAGGTCTACTATTTTTTTTAAAAATGGAACAACACATAACCTAAACGGTCTTATAAATGTCACGGTGATGACGTCGCAGTCGGCCTTGCAGTCTTGTTTACCACCTGTTTATTGCAATATCAAGTAAGATGCAATTTATTTGGTCCATTGGTTTCTTTAGCTTCATCCTGATGCGTAATTATATATATTTTTAATCTTATTCGATATTAAATTTAAAGAGAGATTTAAGAACGAAATTTTCACATAAAAATATTAAAAGAGTTCTCACATAACAGTTAAAAGCATATATTTAACAGTTAAAGTTTTGAACTATTTTACGTGAAATTTCGTTGTAATCGATTTAGGATAAACTTAGGAGTTTCCCTTGTTATTAATTGTCATATTGAACATTGGACTTGAGAGTCTTAAACAATATTGAAACCTATTGAGTCTGTAGCCGAGGTCGTTCACACAAAAAAACCTTGTCGTTCTCAAACCGCTGTTTGCAGTCTTTGTTTGAGTACTACGTTTGTTCGATTGTTAGATTGGGAAATTAATAACTAATATAATTGATAATTGTATATAAATAAAATTGTGAAATATTAAATATTAGTTTATAATAGATCCTGTCTTTGTGATCTCACGGAGAAAGACAAAAATGAATTATAATAAACACAACATTAAATTTACATTCAAATATTGTATACTGAATTATACAAAAGAAAATATTAAAAATATATTACGCAAAGATAATTTATAGTACGTCGCCTTAAAATTATTAACATCTTCACACAGCGACATCTATTATTCAATAGAGGCTTTAATAAGATATTTTTATAGATATCCATCGCTACCCTTTGCTTATGGATTAAAATACATTTACTGTATCATCATCATCATCAGCTCACTATACGTCCCCACCGAGGGGCTCGGAGGCTACCCTTTTTATTTTTTCCAGAGAGGAATGCTTTATGCATACTCCGCGCCCCGGGGGGGACGCGGTAGTTATGTGGGATTCTCCTCCATTGCGGAGACATACCCACTAAACCTCTGTTCCTCCAACGCATTGGGACGGGGCCACGGGCACGTTTTCGCTCTCGTCCGCGACCAAAGATTCGGAGCGTACCCTAAGTTAGGAGTGACTAGGCTATGGTCAACCACGCTGGCCCAGTGCGGGATGGTCGACATTTATTGTAAGCAAGAGACTATATGCTATGACTTAAATCAATTCATGTACTTTCCCTGTAGACTAAAAAACCCGAACATTTTGACTTTGATTTTCTTGAACATTTTAATTGGTTTTCGCTACCATGTTTCAAAAATATACAAGTTATGAAAACTTAATTTTATTTCATCATATCGCGGATAAACGTTAATCCTTGTCTGCTTGACCTCAGATCTGTTGACTTGGACTTTGGAAATCACTGATATAAATAATTCAGTTAATATTGAAAAAGTGTCCATTTTATCTATTTTATTTTTTATATAAAAAGTGTCCAAGTGAATAAAAAAAATAGTATCCTATATATTCTTCCAGACTATGGTCCATTTGTCTGCCAAATTTCATTGAGATCGCTTCTTCCTTTCTAGAGTTAAACATCCATCCATCCAAACATTCGCATTTATATTAGTAAGATAATAAGATTTACTTCTAATGCATTTTGCGATTATATTAAATTGTAAAATTCTTCAATCTATTAAGTTCATATCAAATACGTAATACCTATTACAACGGAACGCCCCTTAACAAGTTGTTACTTCGTTTTTTTAACCCGGTACAGCCTCACAACCTTTCACAGCTAACCGGTCCGGTTGACTTCCTGTCCGTACTAAATATCGACCTATATCCGCCTACGAATGTCTACTCTTGCGACATGTTACATGCGATTTCTATGATATATTATTAATAGTTTCTTGCATAAGACGTATGTTTAGTAAATAGATATGTGTGGTACTACATTGATAATCATAATAATATTATAAATGCGAATGTTTAGATGTACGAATGGATGGATGTTTGTTTGAAGAGATAAGGAACATAGTCTGTAATAACATATAGGCTACTAACTAAGTTTTTTTAAATTCTGAGCGGAGGGAGTCGCGGGCGACAGCTACTATATCAGTAAAATCAAAATTTTTGAGTTGGATTTGTTTAAGTTTACCGTGAAATTCCATTGTGCTGACACTTTTATTAAAAGTCATTCCATAAGCTACTAATTAAGTTTTTTATTATAATTTCGCGTGGACGGAGTCACGGGAGATAGCTAGTAATTTAAATGCACGGACATCCGTTATATATACTTCTCACTTATTTACCTAGCTATCAATATGTTTCCTTTATTAATCTTCTTATGTATTTCTTTGCATACACTTCCCGAACAATTTATATGTAGTTAACGAGTTTACCGTCACCTAAATGGAGTTAACACTTCTTCTGCCAGTTTAATGGGAGTTAACATATAAGCTTAGGTAAATATAGCATTATATATCTGTAATAATTATTTCACAATAAAGATTTACTTTATCTATTTATATTTTATATAGAACACAAATTACTAATTATTTAAATTAAAAAGTTACATTTTTTAATCTCTCACTTTGTTTGTGTTTAATGTCTACATTTTGTTAATGTGTTACACTATTATTTTTGTAAACCTTTAATTATCAAAATAGCATATTATTTAAATGTGAAAGTTTGGTTGTTTGTTCGAATATATCTTCAGAACAGCTTTATGAATCTGGATGCAATTTGATAGAGGTGGACAACATAGACGGGAAAACACATAGACTACTAGTTAAGTGTTTGTCAGACGGAGTCGCAGGCGACATATTTTATCGACGT